TTAATGCTATTCTCCAGCAAAGCTTTAAGGACGTCGTTGTCGGTTTTGCTCATGACCTTAGTTTCGTTAATGCTATTCTCCAGCAAAGCTTTAAGGGCTTCGTCGTCGGCTTTGCTCATGACCTTAGTTTTATTAATGCTATTCTCCAGCATAGCTTTGAGGGCGTCGTTGTCGGTTTTGCTCATTTTCTTGGTTTCATCAATGCTGTTCTCCAGCATAGTTTTGGTCTCATTAAGCTTTGCCTCAAGATCTTTCACTTGTTGTTGGAGTTCGTCAATTAGTTGTTTCAATTGTTTGTTTGAAATGTCAAATCCAGATTGTGGGCTTGAAGCTGAGAAATAATTGAATATTAGGCCTGGTTCATACGTCGAGCCAGCGTCGCGCCGAACCAAATAGTTTGACTTTAGCACATAGCACGGCATTGGCACGGCAGAGTCAGTCGTGCTGCATACGGCAAAAGCTTGACGCTGATTCATACGTCAAGTTATCGTCGTGCCGAACTTAATTCACAAAAATATCTGTTATCAACAATAATAATTGTGTAAATTGCGTGTTATCGCACCTTTTCTTATGCTTTTGACTGCATTTGGTTCGACATATGAATCAACGCCGTACCAAATGTATTTGGGTCGACACAAATTGACTATTTGGTTCGGCGCGACGCTGGCTCGACGTATGAACCGGGCCTAAGTTCTTTTATTGCCTGACATAGTTGATAAACGCACAGGCAAAGTAAGGACATGAGGTTGGTTGGTTTGGATGTTTGATATAATTGCTTCCTCGCTCAGTTTAAAACAAAAAAAAAATTGCTGGAATCTTTATACATAATGAAACGTCATCTCGAGTATTTTTAAGGTTTATATACTCAAATCCGTTATATAAGATTCTTCGAGAAATGCTTTTAAAAAATTAATTTTTGAGATGAAAGGGACAATCTGATCATGCGTTAATCATTGAAGAATGCACGTTTGGTATCCCACATCGAATGCGTGTGAAGTAATGTACTAACGTTGGCGGTTGCATTAATAGAATAATTTGAAATTCTGCATCGCTTATTGATGAGACTAAAACCAAGACTTCTTCGAGGATCATGGGCCTCTTTATCTGATTAGTGTTACCGTGGATAACCTTATATAAAGGTTCGTGCATGCGACCTAGTTTTTCAATACCTCTTGATAAAGTTTAAGGTATTCTTTTTCAAGTATATATTGTCCCTGTCAATCTARTAYAACAGTATTTTTGTTTACTTTAGAAAAGTGGTGACGTGGAGAAGACGTCAACCAATTACTTCAAATAGTCTATGGAGGAAATGACGTCACTGTCAGTTTGACAATTGACCTTAGGCGAAATGAAAATATTCGGCATATTTTTGAAAGTTGTTCCCGAAAAAAGAAAAAATTGCAATTAAACTGTAATTAACAACATTAATACATCATATTGCATAAACATGCTGTTTTAAATACTATCAAGATATCATAAAACTATATGACGTTGAGAGTTGAATTACTTTACACACACTTACTTTATACTAAGATCTAGATCATTCCAAAATACAATAATAGTTATCATTCCAAAAATACATAACGATGAATTATGATATTTAGAGTTTARTATTATTTATTTACAAAGAGATATTAGAACTGATACCAATTAAACAAATTTACATAAACTGGCAATTTTAGACATCTAACTTGTGCATTACTTTCGTTCTAAAATCTGCTTTCAATGGCCTGCACGTAAGTGTTCAATTACATTTATTCCCGCATTTATTGCTTATAATAAATCACTAAACGTCTTAATCAATAGTCAACAGAAAAATCCATCTTATCCTTTGTTTGTAAGTACTTCATTATAGTTATTATTTGTGTATGTTTAGTTAGAGACGAAAMGTTTKTGTACTATYAKYAGKAGGA